TCAGCGCAGCATCTACTCTGCTCACAAATATCAACACTAAAGATGATGACCGTTGCTTTCTCTACTCCTTTGTTGCCGCATATCACAATGTGAATGAGCCGGCCCTCTACCCCACATCTAGACGGTGGCTGGAGAAAAACAAAGTCTCAACCTACAATCTCGACAAAGAAGGAATTGTGAAAATCAATGGGGAATACGAAATGCCAATGGGTCTGATGGATATGGACAGATTTGAAAAGTTGAACAATTGTCAAATCAACGTCTTCCGGTAAGCAAATTCTAATTTCCTTCTAAAAATTTTAAAATTCCTTCAATAATGTTCTTCACCTATTCAAACACCCTTTTTATTTCATTTCAAACCTAGGTATAAAAATTATTTTTCTGTTCAGGTACAACGATGGCGAATTGTTGCCCATAAGAGTATCGAGCAGATTCACTACTAGCCTGATTGTGGACTTGTTGCTGCTGACAGATGGATCAAAATATCACTATGTGTTGATAAGTGATCTCCAGAAACTGGTCGAGTACGTGCGGCACAAAGTGCACCGATTTCAATCTGAGATTTGTCGCAAATGTTTCCACACATGCGCTTCATTCGAAACTTTGAGAAGACATCAAGAACTGTGCTACCAAGACGAAGATGTCGTCATAACAATGCCCAAGCCGGGAAAAGATGACCACAAGTTCAAAAACTTAACAGCTCGTTGGTACGTACCCAGAGTAATCTACTTTGATTTGGAGTCACTGCTCTTACCAGTATACGGACCGCAACCTGATCCGCGAAAATCTAGCACGCAAACAATTGAAATCCATCAACCGTGCGGCTACGCGTTAGCAGTAATCGAATTTGGGAAAAAAGACCTGTTAAAGTTTGAGCTTAAAAGAGGACCGAATGTGATGGAAGAGCTAATTAGCTCCCTTGAATCGTTAGCGAGACAAATTTACGTAGAAAAAAGGAAATATTACACTTTCACTGGTATAACAGACCAGGAACGGGAAGATGCTACAATTTGTTGGATATGCGAGAATGATTTTTCCGACAATGATCAAGTGGTACTTGATCATTGCCATTACACCAACAAGTTTCTGGGTTGGGCACACAATGAGTGTAACGTTAATAGAAAAACAACAAATTACATTCCAGTGGTAGCTCATAATTTGTCAAATTATGATTTACACTTTATAATCAAAGCGCTGGCAAAAAGCGATTCGGAAAACACTTTTTCCGTAATACCCGCATCTGAAGAAAAATATATATCCTTGACAATCTCAGTCTACATAAAAACGTACACGGACAAAAACGGAAAAATCAAAAAACTCTACGAAAATCTGAGATTCATCGATTCGTATAGGTTCATGCTGGCATCGTTGGCAAAACTTGTCGATAATTTGCCCAACGAAAAGTTTTTTCTGCTGGAGAACTATTTTGAAAAACTCGGCCACTCACGTGAAAAAGTCAGTCTGTTGAAACAGAAAGGGCATTACCCCTACTCATACTTCAACTCATTCGAAAAATTCCGAGAAACTCGCCTTCCCCCACGAGCAATGTGGAAAAATAGTCTAACAGGAGGGGATGTGAGTGTTTCAAGAAGCGAGTACAATCATGCCCTTAAAGTTTTCACCGAACTGAAGTGTGGCTCACTTGGTGATTACCACGACTTGTACTTGACTACAGATGTGCTATTGCTTGCTTCCGTTTTCGAAGCTTTTCGTGAAGTTTGCTATCAAACATACGGGCTGGATTGCGCCTGTTACTTCACGGCAAGTAACCTTTCCGGGGACGCCTTTCTAAAAGTTTGTAAGCCCGAACTGAAACTCTTAACGGACCGTGAACATCTAGACCTTGTGCAGCGAATGATACGAGGAGGCATGTCGTCGATTTACGCGCGCCGATTTTACAAAGCAAACAATAAATACCTCGACGATTTTTCGCCCTCAGAACCATCAAGCTACATCCTCAATATTGATGCAAACAATTTGTACGGGGGGATAATGAAACACTGCCCTTTGCCCTTAAACGATTTTTCAATAGTTGAAAAAAGTCTGGCAGACATACTGCTCACCAGCGAAACATCAGAATGGGGTTATATAGTTGAAGTCAATTTAACCATACCCGAAGAGCTTCACGACTTCTTTGCTGATTACCCCCTTGCCCCCTCTCGTGAAGTAGTGGACATCGGTGCAATGAGCAACGAGCAAGTCGACATGTTGGGAAAATTGGGAATCACCACACTGCCAAAAGTGCCAAAGCTTCTACAGACCTTGCATCCTAAAGAAGGTTATGTTTTGCACTACCTTACCCTAAAATTGTACCATGAGCTAGGAATGAAAATAACTCACCTCGGAAAAGTTCTTCAGTTCCGCCAAAGTCACTGGATGGCACCCTTTGTCGACCTCAACACCCGCCTACGAAAAGCCGCGGTAAATAAATTCCAGGAGAACTTCTACAAGCTAATTGTTAATTCAGCTTTCGGTAAGACAATGGAGTCTAAGTTAGGAAGAAAGAAGCTGGAGATTGTAAGGAATGAGAGAGAACTTTTACAAAAAACAGCTCTGAGCACAATGAAAAGCTTTCAAATCATTGACGATCAATTAGCCACAATTAGCTTTTCAGTAACAAAAATATTGTGGGATAAACCTATGATAGTTGGTGCGACCATCCTAGACCTCGCCAAGCGTTTCATGTTTCAGTTTCACTATCAAAAAATGAAACCAAATCTAAACTTGGAACTCCTTTACTCCGACACGGATAGTTTTATTTACGCCATAAAAACTGATGACGTTTACCGAGACTTGGAGAAAATAAAAGCTGATTTCGACTTTTCAAATTACGATAAGGACCATTTCTTGTTCGAGGATACCAACAAGAAAGTTGTGCTGAAGTTCAAAGACGAGACTGGTGGGAAGCCGATCAGAGAATTCATCGCCCTAAAACCGAAACTATATTCGGTCGTCCTTAATGGTAAATAAAATTTAAGCCACCCTTCCACCCCCCATTCCTACCTTTTACAGAACAAAAATACCACCACCAACCTACCTACACCCCTTAATTTGTTGCATTAAACTATGGGCATTTAGCTGATTTAGGCAACATTATACAATGTTGCCTAAACGTTGATTTATCTGACAACATATTCCCTCTTGTTTCCTCTTTTTTAATCATAATTTAGAGTCTTCTGCTCTTTTTTGGTAAAATGAATCAAATTTTGTTCGGTATAAATTGAGTTGCTGAAGTGAAATGAAGCTATCCCCAACGTTGTAGAAAAGAATAATAATTTTGCTATTGTTTAGAAGGCACTCAAAAATTGAGTGCCAAAGGAATTAAACGGAGTGCACAGAGAGAACTGGTCCACCAAACCTTCAGGGACACATTATTCACTGGAAAAACAATGAGAGTATACAACTATAATATAGTTTCGAAAGGTCACACCAATATGACAGTGAAACAAAACAAACTTGCATTATCACCATTCGACTCAAAACGTTTTCTACTTTTCGACGGAATTTCGACAGTGCCCTTTGGCCATAAAGCCGCTGAAGAAAATGCTTTTCTAGAAGACATTTACATGGACACCGAGTGGGCCAACTCATACAATGAAACTGATAACAGTTCTCCCGATTTTACACTCCCGGATTGGGGATTTTTACAGCGGCCCTACTCAGAAGCAGAGCTGCAAGAAGAAGAAGAAGCTTCTAGTAGCCGAGTCCGTGAACGTCCCCCTATAAAAAACCCATTTATTTTATCTGAAGCTTCAGAAGAACGACCATCTAAAAAACACCGCAAAGAAAACCAAAACAATAAACATTAAAGTCTGAAACATATATTTTCAGATGATTTTTACTCTTCGTCCTTTTTATACTTCGAATTGTATATGTTTTGGTTTTTACCAATTTACAACTAATAAAATACTCGTATTGAGCTCAATCACTGTTTTAACATAAATAGCTTCAGGCAAATAAACTAGTAGACACAAACCAAGTGTTAATTCAAACAAATGTGTGAAATCCTTAGGCTTGTTTTGAATAATAAACTTTAATAGCATGACAAATCTTTGACGAAAAGAAAGAAAGCCAGGAAATGATATCCACATGAAACTAGGACGAAAAAAGAAAAGTTCAGGAATTAGGACGATTAATTTTAATTATCGCGGGAAAAGGGACCGCTTTCAAAGGAATTAGAAGGAATTATTGTATCGCGTCCCGGTTGTTGAGCTCAGCTTAACAAGATCCTAAGGAGGGGGTCTTTTACTTTAGGGGTGGGAACTTGCGATCATTTACAAAATCCTAGGATAGGGGTCCTCCAAAAAATTAAGGACCCCTTTCCTAGGATTTTGCTTTACGTGAGGACCCCCCCCCCCCCCCTTAGGAAGGACCCCCCCCCTTAGGATCCGGGACACGATACAATACTACTAACATTCTAGTAGGGTTAATTAGAGGTGAGCTCTTTAAACCCCCTTCCCCCACAAGGCTGTATATTTGTAAATGTCCGTTCCATAGAGTTATTGTTAGAGTGGGATATAATAGTGTGTTTGTTTTTCTGTTTTTAAGAGTAATGAACGTAGTGAGTAGTCTCAAGTAGTTCTTGCTGATTTTTTTTCAGGACGCTCAATTTCGATTTTTCGTCGCTTGACTTGTGATTTCTTTTTAAGTTCAGTGAATTTCCATTGTTAAAAGGAAGGCAAACTCCACAACAGCAAAAATGCATAAGTCGCGAAAAATGTGATCAACTTCTAATTTCGAAAATGAAGTTAATTATCAGATTTCTTTATCAAGTTTTTTTCAAATTGGGTTGATTTAAAAAAAAAATGTTCATCAAAAAAAAGTTTCCATCACTCAGAGAGCTTTAAGGCCATCTATTTTCTTCTCAATTCAAAAGATTTTTGAAAAATTAAATCGTTTTTTTTTCAGTTTCCTTTCGTTCATTACTCTTTTGCAACTGCCAGTTCCAACTATGTTTTAAGCATTGAGTATTGTGTTGAGATGTGCTTTGTTGTTTTCAGCTGGAGGAGCAGGAGCGACTGATGCATAAGCTCAAAATCACGGCACAAGACACTACACAACAGGTAGGATACATTTTTACTCACGCCTCAGATATCGTCAAGTTCAAAGCAAGATGAACAGCTAAAAAATGTTCCGGTTGCTTAAAAGTGGAAGTTTTTACTACAGAAAGAGTTTTTTTTCCACAATACTGCTTTTGACTTGGAAATGGTTGATCATCTGCCATTCTCAAATGTTTGCACAGTTTACTACCCAAACGTTTGTTGCATAAGTATTTGGTCGGTCAAGCATGAGGAGGGAACGGCTTTTCGAAAAAGAAGAAGAGTCAATCGAACATTTTTGAGGGCCATGCGTGACCGCTAAGATGTGACTTTCTTGTTTCAGTTGGATTCTGTCTCTGAAAGGAACAAGGAACTAAAAAGGTCCCTGGACAAATGCGAATCTGCACGCCACGATGCACAGCAAAAGGTCTGTTCGATTACTGCATGCATTTTAGCGTTTGAATTTGTGTTTGAGCAAAACGGGTATTTTGAAAAAATATTGGGATCGGTTTTTTTATTTAATTTTTTTTAGACGCTATGGAAAACATTTTCGCTTTTCACAAAAATGTTTGGTTTTTCTCAGAAGCTACTCCGCCGATTTTTAAAAAAAGTGGTAACACTCGAATTTTAGTCTCTTTTCAACTTACCCCACTTTCTACAGCCTTCAAAAAGTCTGTGGGGGGATATTTGACTCAAAATTTTGATTTTTTCGTTTTCTCGAAAACTGCGTCCGAAATCTGAGGTTTTTGGGGTTAAATAAATAGAACGGGTTGTGGGATAGCTTGGAAAAATCAAAATTTCGATTTTTGACTGTTTTTTTTGCTTCAAAATTATAACTTTTCTCACAAACTACTCTCAAATCTGAGATTTTTATTTCAATCGAAAGGAAAGGTTGTTGGAAGGTCCTCTGCATAAGAGGCTACACAATTTTTTTTCAATTTTGACCGTTTTTTAAAAGTTTTGACTTGTCCCGAAAACGATCCTTCCAAATCTAAGATTTTGGGCTCAATAAAAAAGAGTTGAGCGAAGCTCTCCTTTTTAAGCGGCGACGTCAAAATTTTCTTACTAAAATATTATGACAGTTAGAAGAATCAATATTCTGTTTCCTGTTTTTTAAAACTTTTGACGATCTCTCAAAAACTACCAGCCAAATCTGATATCAAGGGTTTAATCGAGGCAACAGTGTTTAGGAAGCCTTCATGCTGCTGCGGATATGCCTCAAAATTAAAAAAAAAACATGTTATGGCCTTGGGAAAATTCCACATTTCCAAAAATTTCATTCCTAATTATTTTAGAGGAGCGACTAAGGTTTTGGGTGAGTACAAAAATCCGCATCAGTACAAAAGTTACAAAAAATATCAAACAAGTACCTCCAGCTTAAACTCGACTCTAGTGATTCTTGATTTGGCTTATTTCCTGGCGTTATCGAATGACAGTCCTATAAATCATTTATTCATAGATTTTTCACATCTTGGGGCTTCACGTTGAAGTGTTGTACAAGTTTTAAAAAAATGAAAATTGCGTTTGTGCTGCATCTTTTATTAAGTGAAGTTTACGTTTCCAAATTCTGGCTTTAAACTAAGAAAGTCGACTGAGGGTCTCAATAGGGGCTTTGTTTTTTTTTGCGGCTGCGTTGGTTAATGCGGTTTCTTTTGGTCAAAAAGTACCGTTGAATAGAACCCTCAGACGAAGCCTCTCTTGCTGTTATAAATGTTCGAAATAAGCTATTTGTGTTGTTCCCTCGGCTTCCCTCCATGGTACATAAGTTGTGTCTAACAAGAAGTCTTCAAAAGGTTAGAAAATAGCTGGTGCATCTTAAAAGTAGAATTTCAGAAAAATACCATGTCTTTAGAAGAATAGCTTGTGCATCTGTATATTTTTTCATAACTAGTAACGCTATACAACGCTAACTTCGGAACTAGCATAACATGAATGCTTTGTCTGGTTGCATTCACGAATAGAAACTGGAGGAGCTGTAAATTTTTAGCTACTAGGCTGGAATAGCAACTGGAGGAGCTGTAAATTTTTAGCTACTAGGCTGGAACATAATAAGTGACTCTTAACTCAAATGATTGGAATTTCTTTCCAACTTCGTCCCTTTGAGAAAATTCAGCGTCAAAAAATCAAGCAGGACAGACTTTTCTAGTTAGTTTGCTGCCATTTCTCAGCAATTTAGGACTTATCATATTGATTTTCCGCGATGATCCTTATTACGACGATGTAACTCTTCGCCTAATTTTCTAACTCATGATGCTCAACCTTATCCCAAGTGATATGGATAATTACATAGGTTTCCCTTCAAAAGAACACCAGCTCAGCAGACCAAACGCAAATCTGGTGCAGGTAGCAGCCATCAGCGACTTTGATTATTGTCCCCGTCGAAGCTATCAAGGATTGGAACCTCCCGGACTTGAACCCAGCCCTAGTTAAGTAGGGCTAGGTTGAAGTCCGGGAGGATCGATCTTTGATAGCGTCGACAGGGACAATAATCATAGTCGCTTATGGCTGCTACCTGCACCAGTTTTGCGTTTAGTCTGCTGAACTGGTGTTCTTCAAAGTTGTCAGGGCAGTGGCCATGGCGACAGTTGAATTATACCACGTGGCAACACCGTAACAGTGTCTGCCTCGGACATATACACCTTGCCCAGTTGCCATTAAACGACATTGAAATCATCAGTAGATGTCACTTCGCCCGCCTTGTCCCACCAACAGAAGTTGTATCACTTGTTAATGTACCCCTTGGTTGAAACACGCCACATGGATGGTCTCTGTGGTAAAGAGTGCAGCAAAACCCGAAGACATCAACACAACGAGCTTCATAGACGACGATCAATTGTTTCACCATGTTGTAGAGTAGATGAAACTCGACGCCGAATGAATCTCATCTGACAAACGAAGTATGTTAAGTAACGACAAAGACGCTCTCGACAATGGACATAACCAGATTGGACTGCTATGGAAGAAGACTCGACAACTACAAAACAACTATTGGCTTGCAAAGAAGCAACTACACAGCCTCCTATTCCACCTTTAACGGCAAACCAGAACGTCTCAGCAAAAACAAGAGACCATCACGACCGATATACGCAAAGGGTTCATCAAGCAAATCAACAGCTACGACAACGACGAATGTTGGTACCTGTCTCACCCCGCAATAACGAACGCCAAAGAACCCGGCAAGTTACGCCGAGTATTCAATGCCTCTAGCATAGCATCCTACTCACCGGACCTGACCTTCTGTGCAAACTGACTGGAATTGTTCATGCAGTTATTCGTGACCCCAGCAGAGCAGCCATACCTACGCTTTTTGTGGAAAGACGAGAACCAGGACATCATCACATACCAGTACCCGCGACACATCTTGGAGCAACCGACTCTCCTGAGACCATCCAAAGATAGCCATAACACGGACGCCATGGAAGCCAAGAAGTTCCAGACACCAAGGAAAGCAGACATCGCGCAACGGAAACTCCTTAAAATTGCATCCTCGCCATTTGACCCGCTCGAACTTGCCATGCCCATGACAATTAGCCTTCGACAGAACCTACAACTTGCCTGGAAATCAGGACCTCTATGGGATAAAGCCCTCGACCTGACAATTTTGTCCAACCTCAGCGACTGGCTTGACGAAATCGAAAACTTCAACAACGTGAAACTACCTCGAACGTACTTCCGACCACAAAGAAAAGCAACCGACATTCAACTGCACGTATTCAGTGACGCGTCAAAACATGCCAACTCGCGAATATGTAATTGATACATTGCAAGTTGAGCGTTACTTTTTTGCATAGCGTTTATACTCAATCCGGGTTTTCTATAGCCCAGTTTAACTGTTTTTAATCGGGCGAGTAACTGTTGCTGCGTTTTTTCATTCCATCCGCTCATTAAATTAATAACTGTATCGTTCAGGGGCTTAATAGTAGTATCTAAATCTGTCATCTAAATTATTTGAAATAAAGCATTGAGTGTATTAAATAACGTGTCTAAATTACTTTTAATGACATTTCGATTTGACTTCATTTTTGATGATTGTGATCTCGTAAATCCTCTAAGTATAATTGAATACGACATCAATTCAAAAGATCAATTGTAGCAAATTTAATTCAAGTTTATTTCAAATTTAGGTGAAAAACATAAAATAAACACTATCTAACTTTCTCTCAACCCAATCAATGCAATTTCTGAGATGTGAATAGATGTTGCTGAATTACAAATAACTACTTCTGGGAAATCTTTCACTTAATTTAGAGCAAATTTTTGATCATTGTTGTAAATCGAGCTTCTTATCTGCTTATTTCTTACATGTCGGAATTTGGGGGAAAATTCAAACAACAACTCTACTTAACTGTTCATAATCCCTCTTTTGCTTCTACAACATGTTTTTTTATGAACTGTCAAGTGATTTTATGTGTTTTAACTTTATTTTTGGTTTCTTTTTGTATTGAAAAGTCAAAACTCATGATTTTAGAAAAAAAAATGTATCAATTGAACGAAAAATTAGATCAACGGTTTTATTAGTATTGGAAACGTCTGTATATTAATGTAATTTTTGCAAAATGATAAATACCAGTTTAGAATTTTCTAATTGAGAAAATATTACCTAAAACTATAGTTTGTAACCAAAATTCAAGCAAGCGTCTTGTTTGCTCGAACTCCTTAGAAACGGTAACTAAGCGTTTTCTTATTTTTTTTCCCGTAAACTTCAAGTTAAAGTATGCTTTTTCTTAGTTTTTGCTTAATCTGCGATCTTCCAATTAAGTGCTTTTTGCATATAGTTTTATTCAATAAATAGGTTTTAAAATGAAAAGTTGTATCGTTTGAACTATCTTTTATTAATACCAAACAAAGTTAACACCAAAAACCGATCTTTGCTGGCTAATAAAAACCAGTTTAAAACTTTAAAAAAAAAATCTTTTGTGTCAGATGAGTGTTAAAAAAATGTTTCTAAACTAAGTTCTTGAGTTCCGTTTTAAAATGAATTATGAGAGCAGATGTATGTTGTTTGGTATAATGAATATTCAAAGTTTTGTAAATTAATCACAATTTTTATCTTTTCTTCGTCACTTATCAAAATGTTCTGAAACAGTGTTAACAGCAGAAAAATTTTATTTTTTATGCATAATTGTTTACCCTACTCTGATCAATAACTTAGAAAAACAACTACTAATACCTGTGTTAATATGATTATTAGTCTTGTTAATGAGCCAAAAAATCGAATCCTTGTACTCTCATTGGGTTATACTGAGCATTTTTTAAACATCTATTAAAATAACCGTGAAATCAAATACAAAATTAAACCAAAATAACAAAGTCCGATACTGGATTAGTTTCTAAAAATGAACATTTCACGGCAATTCGAACTCGATTTTTGCTTGCGTATATTTTCATCGATCATATCGTTTGAACAAAAGCAGCTGCGATTGATCC